TCCGGGCTCCCTTTCAACTCTGTCATTCTATGATTCGCTAAGGGTCTCCTGCTCGAACAGGGGGTTGGACTAGATGACCTCCGAGGTCCCTTTCAGCTCTATCATTCTGTGATTCTGTAAGGGTCTCCTGCTTGGGAAGGGGTTGGACTAGATGACCTCTGAGGTCCCTCCCAACATTCTATCATTCTGTAAAGGTCTCCTGCTCAAGCAGGGGGTTGGGCTAGAAGACCTCCAGGGTCCCTTCCAACTGGCATGCTGTGATTCTCTAAGGATCTCCTACTCGAGCAGGGGGTTGGACTAGATGACCTCCGGGCTCCCTTTCAACTCTGTCATTCTATGATTTGCTAAGGGTCTCCTGCTGTGGCACGGGGTTGAATTAGATGGCCTCTGAGGTCCCATTCAGCTCTATCATTCTGTGATTCTGTAAGGGTCTCCTGCTTGGGAAGGGGTTGGACTAGATGACCTCCGAGGTCCCTTCCAACTCTGTCATTGTATGATTCTCTGCCTCCTGCTGGGGCAGGGGGTTGGACTAGATGACCTCCGAGGTCCCTTCCAACTCTGTCATTCTATGATTCTCTAAGGGTCTCCTGCTCAAGCTGGGGGGTTGGACTAGATGACCTCTGAGGTCCCTTCTATAACTCTGTCATTCTATGATTCTCTGAGGGTCTCCTGCTTGAGCAGGGGGTTGGACTAGATGACCTCTGAGGTCCCTTCCAACTTTGTCATTCTGTGACGGTCTTCTGCTCCAGCAGAGGGTTGGACCAGATGACCTCCGAGGTCCCTTTGTCATTCTATGATTCGCTAAGGGTCTCCTGCCTAAGCAGGGGGTTGGACTAGATTATCTCTGAGGTCCCTTTCTCTATCGTTCTGTGATTCTGTAAGGGTCTCCTGCTTGGGAAGGGGGTTGGACTAGATGACCTCCCTTCTAGTCCCTTCTATAACTCTGCCATTCTATGATTCTCTGAGGGTCTCCTGCTCGAACGGGGGGTTGGACTAGATGACCTCCGAGGTCCCAGTTGTTCAGTTAGTCACACCGTCGTTAAGCGAACCCAGCTTTCCCATTGACTCTGC